AGTGTCTACTGCAATATTAGACAAAAACTATTCATCCAGTGTTTCTGCCTATGTGCCATTGGCATACAAAATGCCCACTTTATAACCATCAATCCCAATAATGTTACTTCTGATAAAAAAAATAAATAAATAAAACTCTATGACATGAAGCCTCAAAGGAAGTGTTTGCAAAATATCTCTTGAACCATTGGGCAAAATTACCAGAAAGTAATCATTTGATGTACATCTAGAACTGATTAACTATTGAAGGAAGCCAACTCGATTTAAGATTACTACCACAGCTAATTGACGTCACAACATAAAAATTACTATAACTCAGTCAATTTATGAGATACTTAGCTTAAATTAGGTGGGGTAGTAGCTGAGGGTAGTCCAAACCAGCCACTAAAGAGCACAAACAAGTGTATCTGCTGTTCGCAAGCCCGGGAAAATGGTGAGGATTTTGTCAGGGAGGACATCCAATATAAAACACTTTTGCCAAATCTAATATGCGAGTTTATCTAAGCAAAACCATACCAGATCAGTTTAACAACAACAACCAACGGTGTTGTTGATAAACAGGGTGCTGGCGGAAGTTGCTATTAGTCGAAAACCACAACGAATGAAACATGTCAGGAGACAGAGGGAGAAGAGGAAATTCAAGAATGTAGGACTAAGTGTTGCAACTCTAAATGTGGGGATAATGACAGGCAAAGGAAGAGAACTGGCTGACATGATGCAGAGAAGGAAGGTAGATGTTTTATGCGTTCAAGAAGCCATGTGGAAAGGCAGCAAGACTCGCAGCATTGGAGCAGGGTTTAAACTGTTTTACCATGTTGTGAATAGAAAAATAAATAGAGTAGGGGTGATCCTGAAGGAGGAGTTGTCAAAGAATCTAGTAGAGGTGAAAAGAGTGCCAAATAGAGTGATGTGTCTGAAGGTAGAAGTCAAAGGTCTATTGCTAAATATTGCCAGTGGTTATGCTCCACAGGTTGGACGTGACATTCAAATCCAATTCAATTCAAATATACTTTATTAATTCCAAAGGGAAATTGAGCGTTGCTATAATTCATTATCCTCATTTCATTAAGAGATGTTATAGATCCTGATGGCTGTAGGCAGGAATTATCTCTTGTAAAGGTCCGTCCCACAGTGAATCTGAAGAAACTGGCCGCAGATGCCATCTGATCCATCCACCCAGACTCAACTGGCCTCTCGGATCCCCCAAGCTGCAGGAACGCCCAAATGCCGGGCAGAACTCGTCCCAGAGCGATAGCCACTCCTCCCAGAAGCCTGCAGAGCTCCTCATTGCTGCAGACAGCTAGCTGCAGGTGCCGGGGGATGATCCCAGTCCTTTTGCTGTCACAAGCTGCGTTTCCTGCCATTTCCAGGATCTCAGTGGTCAGGCACTCGAGCACAGCTGGCAGAGTGATGAGAATGCATATACAGCGCCTCTTTTTCAACTCATTTGAAATTTGGGACTGTAGTTGAGATATTATTTGAGCTTTGCAGATGGTAATCAGCATCTCCCGGTTATAAAAAACACCTTGTTTTCATGGTTATGCATCATAAAAAATATCCAAAAGTAAAAAAGTTTCAGTAATAAACTTTTCAGCTGCACAGCATCTGATACCAGAGGAAACAATCATACAGAAAATATGATTTACACACAGAAAAAGAGGAATTAAATATTCCAAAAGCGAAATCTCACAATGAATATAAGAGAGCTACTCCAACATGCAGCCACCCCAAGCGGCCCAATTCTAGAATCACAAAATCGATCAAGACTCTAGACACAGAGGAGAAAGAGAAATTTTGGAAGGATCTGGATGAAGTGATGGAGAGTTTTCACAGGGAGGAGAACGTGGTGATCGGAGCAGACCTGAATGAACATGTTGGTGAATAAAACAGAGGGGACGAGGAAGCGATGGGTAGGTTTGGTGTCACGGAAATAAACCAGGAAGGACAGATGGTGGTGGATTTTGCCAAAAATAATGGAAATAGCTGTAGTCAACACTTATTTCCAAAAGAGGGAGGGACAGAGAGTGACCTATAAGAGTGGAAGAAGGAGTACATAAGTAGACTACATTATGTGTAGAAGAGGATACCCGGGGGGAATTGAGGATGGTAAGGTTGTGGCAGTGGAGAGCGTGGCCAGACAACATTGGATGGTTGTGTGTAGAATGACTGTTGTGAATAAAAGATGAAGAGTAAACTCAGAGAAGAACACCAAATGCTGGAAGGTGAGAAAATAAGAATGTTGTGAGAAATTCAGAAAAGAGCTGTTAAAAGTCCCTGGGTGGTAAGAAAGAGCTTTCAGATGACTGGGCTACTACAGCAACAGCAATTAGAGAGACATGTAGAAAGGTACTTGTTGTGTCATCTGGACAGAGAATATATAATATGGAAACCAGGTGGTGGAATAGTGAAGCATGAAGCTATTCAAAGAAAGAGATTAGTCAAGAAGAAATATGACAGTGAGAGGACTGAAGAGAGGAGACAGGAATATCAGATGTAACATAGACCAAAGGGGTAGGTAGCAAAGACGAAGCAGAAGGCACATGCTGAGTTGTATGGGAGGCTGGACACTAAAGAGGGTGAGAAGGACTTGTATCAATTGGCAAGACAAAAGGGATCAGGCTGGAAATATGTGCAGCAGGTTAGGCTTGTGATAGATAGGAACGGTAATGATCCAACAAGTGAGGAGACAGTGACAGGAAGATGGAAGGAGTACTTTGAGGGGCTAATGAAGAGTACAAAAGAGAAAGAAGAGTAGAAGTTACATAAACTGTGGACCAGGAAGTAGGAAAGATTAATGACGGTGAAGTTTGGAAAACTCTGAAAAGATTGAAGAAGTGGAAGGCAGTTGGACCTGATGACATACCAGTAGAGGTTTGGAAATGTCTTGGAGAGATGACAGTGACATTTTTGACTAAAATATTCAATGGCATATTTCAGGGTGATAAAATGCCTGAGGAATGGAGAAGTGTGCTGGTGCCCATTTTTAAGAACAAGGGTGATGTACAGAGTTGTTGCAACTACAGGGGAATTAAGTTGATGAGTCACACAATGAAGATCTGAGAGAGAGTTGTGCAAGCAATACATAGAGGAGAGGTGAATATCTGTGAGCAGTAGTATGGTTTCATGCCCAGAAAGGGCACCATAGATGCCATCTTTGCTTTGAGAATGATGATGGAGGAATACAGAAAAGGTCAAAAAGAACTCTGTGCTGTCTTTATGGATCTGGGAAAAAACATGACTGGGTGCTGAGGGAATAGGTGTGGTATTGCATGAGGAAATCTGGAATGGCAGAGAAGTATGTTAGACTGGTACAGGACATGTATGAGGACAGCAGGACAGTGGTGAGATGTGCTATAGGAGTGACAGATAGCTTCAAGGTGGAGTTAGGATTGGATCAAAGATCGGTTCTGAGCCCCTTCTTGTTTGTATTGGTGATGGACCGACTAACAGATGAAGTCAGGCAGGAATTCCCGTGGACTATGATGTTTGCAGATGTCATTGTAATCTGTGGTGAGCGCATGGAACAGGTGGAAGAGAACTTGGAGAGGTGGAGGTATGCACTTGAAAGAAGGGGAATGAAAGTCAGTCATAGTAAGACAGAGTACATGTGTGTGAATGAGAGGGAGGCTGGTGGAGCAGTGAGGCTACAAGGAGCAGAGGTCACAAAGGTGCAGGACTTCAAGTACTTGGGGCCCACTGTCCAGGAAAATGGGGAGTGTGGTAAAGAAGTGAAAAAGAGAGGCCAGACAGGATGGAGTGAATGGAGAAAAGTTTCAGGAGTGATTTGTGACAAAAGTGTCAGCAAAGGTCAAAGGAAAAGTTTACAAGACAGTGATGAGACCAGCTATATTGTATGATCTGGAGACAGAGACATTGACAAAAAGACAGGAGAAAGAACTGGATGTGGCAGCAATCAAGATGTTGAGGTTCTCCTTTGGAGTGACAAGGATGGATAAATTTAGGAATGAGATCATCAGAGGTACATCACATGTTGAACAACTGGGAGATAAAGGTAGAGAGGCCATATCAAGATGGTTTGGACATGTCCAGAGGAGAGACAGTGGGTATATTGGTAGAAGAATGTTAGAAATGCAGCTGTCAGGAAAAAGACAAAGAGGAGATATATGGATACAGTTAGAGAGGACATGGAGGTAGTTGGATTGAGGACAGAGTATGAAGAGGACAGAGTGAGGTGGAGAAGGATGACTTGCGCTGGCGACCCCTGAAGAGGGAAAAGTTGAAAGAAGTAGCTGAGAGTAGTTCACAAGATCTTGCAACATCCCATTGGATTGTGCATAACATTATTTTCTAAATTTTAATATAATTGCTATATCTCCATCGAATAAATAATAAAATAGAATGTATCTTTGTCTAAAGATCAGGCATGAAAAGAGACAGGCAATGGATAACTTAAATAAATGTTAGTTCTCTAATTCACCAAATTTTCTCCAAGAAAATGTTGGAAAAATCAACAAAAATCAATCAAATTTCATAATTCACATGTCCTATGTTCTTGTAATGAAAAGGGATCTAAATTGTTCATAGTTTGCTTCTTATTTCAAGAGTCATTCTTTTACCTCAGTCGAATCCTGGTTGAAGGGGAAGAACCAAAATCCAAGACTAGTAAGCAAAAGGTAGTCAGGTACATTTGCTCCACAAACAAAGCCAAATATCATTAGGATACAAAGCATATTTGAAAAGAACAAGAGAGGACCGATTGTGGCCAAAAACCAAAATGAACGCCACATGCACTAATGATCCCAGTTTTTACAAGCAAAACTCTCTGAAATGAGCAAAGAAATCACCGCCATACAAACAGGTTGGCAACAGAACACTACGCTGAGAAGAATACCTTTCTCAAAACCAGTGAACCATGCACAACAAGACCAGCCCAAGAGTATTTATTAAAACACAGGTTCAAAAATGTTAATGCTGTTTTAAAATGTTTTAAAATATGCATTGTTTGGTACACTTTAAATGCTACAATGCGTCAAATGTTCTCAAATTTTGGAGAAGTACATGCCAATGATGTGTGACAGTTTATGACTTAGACGTGACAGTTTTTCTCGGTAGAAACGTTTAAGATGACATTTAGAGAAGCATGAAGGCCTGCAAAAAACGGAAACGTGCAAAGGTCTCGATATTATCATGTCTACCACAACCCTTGACCTTTAAGCAAACTAAATGACATTACAATGTGCAAAATCAGCTTTACAGGCAATAGACACCTTCTCAACAGTCAGTCTTTAGTCACACAATTAAGTTTCATTGCAAGATCAACACTTTTTCTTGTGTTTTTGAGACTGCAGATGTTTTACAGATAACTGAAAAAAATTGAGTTTTGCCAAATTTTTGTAAAATGTATGCAGATTTTTGCTTCCATGATTTAATAACTCAAACTAGTGACTCAAACAAAAACATTTAATCCAAAAGACTTTTTCAGTTTGAGAACCGAGAAAAAAAAAATGTTTTCTTTGATTTATTTATGTTTTTACCTGGATTATTGAGCATCCATCCATCCATCAATTATCTTTTACCCAGTGCCCATGTCCAGCAATCACTGTGCAGGGGGGCGCGGGGGGGGGGGGGGGGGGGGGGGGGGGGGGGGGTACACACTGGGCAGGTTGCAATTCCATCACAGGGACACATAGAGACAAACAACCATTCCCTCTCTCACTCACACCTAGGGACAATTTAGAGTTACTAATCAGCCCAACATGCATGTTTTTGGTCTGTGGGAGGAAATCGGAGAACCTGGAGAAAACCCACGCATACATGGAGAGAACATGCAAACTCCACCCAGAAAGGCCCCCGGACTGGGATTTGAACCGGCAACCTTCTCGCTGAGAGGCAGCAGCTCTACCAGTTGCACCACCATGGGGCCCATTATTGAGCATGCATTAGGATATTTTGAACCACTTTGGCTAGGACGGCCTCAAACTAGTTCGAGAGCTTGAGCAAACGGCAAGCTCTGACTGATGAAGTCCTTTGGATTAAAGGTGAAACGTTTCAACAAGAAGAAGCCGTCCAAAGGACCTGTGAGAGTACCACTGGCTGCAGCTCTCCTCTCCAAGATGGCCACTAATTACCACCAGCTGTTGACCATCTACATGATGAGATCCTGCACTACAGAAGGCTGCAGTCAAGCGCTACTCTTCGCCGGAGCATTAAATCATCTATGGTATTTATGTGCCTGGCAAGTGTTTCTGAAAGATTAGAAGATACTTACCTTGTTTTTGTGCCTGCAGTTATCCAGCCTTCTTGGGTCCTGTCCAGTTCTGGTTCTCCCTTAGTCCTGTTCCTCATTCCTTGTGCCTTGCCCTCCAGCCACTCGCCTGCCTTGTCTGTCCTGCCTGGTCCTTCATCTCTGGAGCCCAGTTTGGATTCGGCTCTGCACCTCACCACCATGACCAAACCTGTAGGAGGAAAAAACAACCAGATTAATATCAATCACTCTGCTCCTTCAACCAGACCCACCTGACCCTCTCCTTCCTCCTCAGGGTTCCAGCAGATCATCTGTAAATAATTCAAGCTCTGTACATAGTAAATACTGTTCTTTTCCTACTCTGAGTCTTGTCTCGTACCAATCTGGGTTCCTTGAGTCATAACCTGACTTAACTTTTATAGTTATAAGACGATATGGTTTTAACAGCTTTATGATTTTCTCTTAAAAGACTGTTTCCCTATTTTTTATTTAATATATATTTTTTATTATATACCAAACTGTGAAACATTTAAAACATGCTAGAATAGGGGCCTTAAGAACCAGAGTTAGGATATCCTACAACTTTCAGTCAGGATGTGGACAGTCTCTTTTTTTGCTGAAACGTTTCACCTTCCATCTGGAAGGCTTCATCAGTCAAGGAAACACACAACACAAAACTGATTCTTCCACCAAACAGCTTACTCCAAAGTGGAACAAACCAGTTGGATTGTATACATGGATTATTGAACATGGACTTTTTTAGAATTAGGATATATCGAAGTAAACATTTCATGGAGTATATTTTGTGGTGTACATTTCATGGAGTATATTTTGCTCTATTGGGCAGTACGGTGGCACAGTTGGTAGAGCTGCTTCCTGTGAGCGAGCAAGTCGCACCAGTTCAAATCCTGGCCTGGGCCCTTTCTGGGTGGAGATTGCATGTTCACTCTGTGCATGTGTGGGTTTTCTCCAGGTACTCCAGTTTCCTCCCACAGATCAAAAACATGCATGTTAGGCTGATTGTTAATGCTAAATTGTCCCTAGGTGAGAGTGAATGGTTGTTTGTCTCGTTTGTCTCTATGTGGCCCTCTGATGGACTGGAGACCTGTCCAGGGTGTACCCCACCTCTTGCACAGTGACGGCTGGATATGAGCACCAGTGACCCCCATGACCTAAAAAGGAAGACGCGAGTAAATGGATAGATGGATATTTTGCTCTATCCCTTCTTGTAGACACTGTTACATCTTTACCTGTCAACCAGTGTTACGTCCACCATGAACATAACACATTAAAAGGACAGGACTCACAAATAGAGGTTCGAACATTCAATTTATTGTACTGCTTCCTGCAGACTAAAAAAAAAAAACAATCCCTGTATCCAGCAAAAAAAGGACACAAAAATCCAAAGTGTCAACTTAAAGGTGAACCTGGTGGGCTGGCCAAATAGAACAAAAAGGTACCACAGCGGGCCAACCCTATACAGCGCTGTCGAAACCGCAGGGTACCACGCCAAAACCTACTAAAAACAAACCCCTATCACATAAGAAAGAGCGAAAACTGGACTACCGGTCCCACCAGGCCAAAAACACTACAAAAAACACGCAAAAAGGGAGTAAAAATTACCTGAGGTGGCTGGGGCCACCGACAGCAGGCCGCAGCTCCAGGGCAACTAGAAAAAACAACAAAAAAAAACAAACAAGGGCCCAGGGAAAACAAGGGCCCAGGGAAAACAAGGGCGGCCAACAAAAAGGTCCAAAAATGTGGGAGTCTGAGAGCAGAAGAAAGAAAAAAGCTCCCTGAAACCAGCCTATTTATGGGCGGGTGGAAAAGGCCACAGCCCAATACAATTAAAGGCTGATTAGCCAACCCAAAACCTGTCCAAAGGGACAAAATAATGAGGCCAATGTGCCTGGCACATAACAACCAGGTAAACACACAGGTGTCTGTAGTCATCCACCGCCCTTATAACAATTGTCTAACAAGGTTGAGTCAGGTCCTTTGGACGGATTCTTCTTCTTCCAGATGACCTGACTCAACCTTGTTAGATTTAAGTACATGGATTTTTGAGCATGCATCGGGACATAACAATAATTGTGTTTCCAATTCAGACGCAGCAGGAGAGTACATTTTATTTTTGTTGTTTAAGGCTGTGGAAGTTGGAGTGGTTGGGAAGCCTGAGGACTCTGAACCCCCTGCTGCACATTCTGGAGTCTGGTGCTATCGTATAAGATGGGGTCGACGGTGAGGACGCAGGTGTGGACATTTCAGGGATTTGTAGATTCATAGATAAAGTTGCTTTCATCGCTTCCACTGGAGGGTTCAATGTACCAAGTTTTCCTCCTACAGCCTGAAACCAAGCACCTTTGTTTATCTGGTTATTCTAAACTTTAATTTAAGTGTGAATAGTTTGTCTCTTTATGAACCTGAGGGTACAGCCTTTTGGACAAGGCTCTAATTTTTGTCCTTTGGCTGAATTTGAACTCTAAACATATATTTTAAGTTGTTTGCATGTGTATAGCCCTGCTGTTTACACTGATTTCTGATGACGTATGCAGAATCTTCCACCAAACTTAAAATATCATGTTTGTGTTGGAGAAATAAGTTAGCACGTTGGTTAAAACGTACCAAGAAGCAGAATGTAGGACAGAAGCAGGTAAACAACTAGTTCAAACTTGTTTTTCTTGCTGCCTTGAAAGAAGAACAGACTAATGTGTGGGAGGGTTTTTGTGGAAAGGACTCATTGAGGCACGTGGCTGTCTGCTGCATGTCATCCATGTCTTTGTGGTTTTCAGGGCTTTTTTTAGGCTTTCAGTCATTTGTAACCTCATCATACGTAACAGAAAACTTCATGCACATCTCAATGACTTGTTTCCATTCAAATGTCATGTTGTTGTTCAGGATTTTTTAAATTAAAGAAACACAATGTTACACATCCAACAATTTTCAGTCAGTTCATCTGGACAGTTTTTTTTTTTCTGAAACGTTTCACCTTCCATCCGAAAGGCTTCATCACAATGTTACGCATTTTTCTCCAGGAGGTTACTGATTTATGTCAATGTCACTGTCAACTTATTTATATAGCACATAAAAACAACAAAAGCTGACCAAAGTGCTTTACAGTTAAGACAGATAAAAAAGAGTAAAAAATGCATCTAGTGCCACTCAAAAACATAATAAAGTTAACAGTAAACACACAACAATAAAATCAGCTCAAAATGTGTTAGACTCTACGTGGATCAATTGCCAAGGAATACAGATGAGTCTTCAGCAAAGATTTAAAAGTCTCAACAGTCTGAGCGGTCTTTAAATTCTCTGGTAAAAACTCTCTGGAAAAGGGCCGGCAATGGAGGAGGGGCGTACCAAAGAGACCATCTAATCACAAGCAGAACTGGTTTGTTCCACTTTGGAGTAAGCTGTTGGAGGAAGAATCAGTTTTGTGGTGTGTTTCCTTGACTGACGAAGCCTTCTGGATCGAAGGCGAAACATTTCAGCACAAAAAAAAAAGAAACTGTCCAGATGACCTGACTGAAAAATGTAGGACTATATACATGGATTATTGAGCATGGACTTTGTTCTCTGGTAAACTGTTCCACAATTTTGGAGCATCAACCACAAAAGCTCGATCACCTCTGGATTTCAGTTTGGATCTGGGGACATCTAAGAGGAACTGGTCGGTAGACTGGAGTTCTCTTACTGGAGTGTAAATGTTAATAAGATCACATAAATAAGATGGGGCCAGACCTTTTAAGATTTTAAAAACAAGCAATAAAATCTTAAAATCAATCCAGAAGTGGACTGGAAGCCAGTGGAGAGAAGCCAGGACAGGGGTTATATGTTCATATTTTTTTAAGTTGCTGTTAAAAGACGAGCTGCTGCGTTCTGGACATATTGTAAGCGATGCAAAGATGATTTGTCTATACCAACATACAACGGATTACAGTAGTCCAAACAAGAGGTAATAAAAGTGTGAATCACCTTTTCAAGGTCTCTGAAAGGGAGACAAGACTTCACCTTGGCAATAAGTCTTAGCTGGAAGAATTTGGATTTCACAACTGTATTTATCTGTTATCTTGAACCTGTTATCTTTGATTTGATGTTTTTAGCTAATTTAATTTGTTTTTCACAAAGTTCTTCGGCAATAACACTGCATTTTTTACAGGAAATGCATTTTCTCTAGTTATTATTGCTTCAAATACATTGTCAAACTTTTATTTAGATTTTGATTTTGAACTTTATACCATTTTTCTTTAACTTTTATCTCCAAAATCTTTTGTAGAGCATATATAAATTCAATAAAAAAAAAAAAAATTCTTTGAGCAATATTTATTGCAGTATTAAAAAACAATATTACATGCAAAAAAATGACTTTTTGTATAAAAAATAGACATGTGTAATGAAAACAGCTGCCATTCCAGATGATAGTTTTCCTCAATAAATTATTTAATGACTTTTTGTTTGTTTCAGGTGAGCTCTCTGATTGATTTAACATTCACAACTTAAACAAACATTCATGCATTTAAAAAAAAGCAAATATTTTCATAAAGCTACTTCCACTGAAATAAAGCTATATTTAAAACAATGTAAAATTCATCCATTTCATACCTTCAAAATATATTTATTTTTGTTTGTTTCCTTTAGAAGAAAATGATTACCGGTACTTGGCTTTCATTTAAATTACTTTTTTTTTTGTACTCAAACATTTTGCAGTAAGGGCTTCATCAGTCAGTCAATGATTTTGTAACAATACAAAAACACTTCATATTTTAAATATTTGAAACATTAAAGGATATTTTGTAACGTTTGAGCCTGAAGCAAGTTTAAATTCACCAGTCCCACAATGAACTACAACTTTTTATCAGACATGTGTTGATTTGGTCCAGCTTCCTCTGCAGTTGCTCCCCAACTCTTTTCCCTTTAACTTTAATTAGTACGTCTGGGAGCTTCTGGATTTGTGTCAACGTAGCCGAGGAAACCCAACTACTGATTAATGAAAGATGTTCTGAGAAGCTGAGCTTTGACGTTCTACCCTGTATTTTTCTTTTTGATGACAGCTTGTGAATAATTCGATGCAGAGATTTCATCTTGATTTTATGATGCCTGAAGAAAGCCGGGATGATTTCTTTGAGGCACTCTGCTCCGTCTGCAAAGGACAGATAAGGTCAAACAAACACACCGGCTACACAGATGAGACAATCACAGAACATATATTGTAACGTTTAAATAGCATTGAGTCATTCTGGATTTAACTAACAATAGAAAATGAAAGAAAAATCTAAAGTTGTCATCAGTTAAGGATTAGGAACACCTATAAATGGAGAAGTGAAAGTACTATAAATAAAACTTGGTTTTCTAAATAAAGGTCAAAATATGTAGGCTGGCTATTGTTTGTAATTTATTTTTATTCTAACTTTGTCATAACAAAAATCCAGAAGTGGTAACTGGATAAACTGGAATTTTTAGATTTTATGTGTGAATCTGTCCAAGAATGGGTTGGCAGGCGATATCCTGAAGATTTTGATTTTGAAGGGAATAATTTTCAAAATTAGTCAGAAAACCAAAGGGTGGAATAATAAAATGTTGTTTTTCTGACTATTTAACCTGTGATATAAAGTGTTTTTGGTAAGGGCAAAATTAGTCAGAAAACCAAAGGGTGGAATGAGTTGAGAGTTTAATAAAATGTTGTTTTTCTGACTATTTAACCTGTGATATAAAGAGTTTTTGGTGCATGTTGTTGTGAGTCACCCGAGAGGCCTGAGGAGGAGGCTTGGCCCGCCCCCTCCCGCACGCTATCTCGAGGTTTCTCACCCTAGCTTCTAACGCTCTCGCGCTATCTTGAGGTTTTTAAGCTTCTCACGCTCTCATGTTCTCACGCTCTCACGCTATCTCGAGGTTTCTCACAGCTTTTAAGTCCAGGTGGGCATGTTTTGTTTACTGAGAGATGTTCCCACATGATGGGGGGAGTATAAAAGTGTAACACTCAGAATAAGAGTTGGAGTCTGCTGGTGATCTTGATCCGATGCCCAGCCATTTGATGTTACCTTCCCACTTGGACTGAGGGCTCCCCAGTCGGTGTCACGTGAGGGCTTTACATCAATGTTTGATTTGTACTGACTGTACTTGTGCTTTGCTTCACTATATCTGTGGCTGTTTAATAAAAGACACTTATTATTCTAGCAGAAACAGCCTGTGAGTGTTTATTCATTGTTCCGATCATTTCCCCGAACCTGTACTTTGTTTAAGATAATTTCATAAAACACTGATCTGTCTCCAGTTCCATCGTACCATCAATCATGAACAAGATGCCCAGATACTTGAACTCCTCCACCTGCAAGATGCCCAGATACTTGAACTCCTCCACCTGAGGTTCAGGTTTTTCCTCCCAAACCCAATGGGGCACTCCATGTGTAACCTCTTGAAAACCATAGTCTCAGACTTAGATAAACTGACTCTCATCCCAGCCACTTTACATTCAGCTGTGAACTTCCCCAGTGCATGCTGAAGGCCTTGGCCAGAAGACACCAGCAGAACTACACCATCTGCATAAAGCAGAGATTAGACCATGAGATTCCCAAACCAGACAACCTTTTCCTTTCTAGAACTGTGCCTTGAGATCCTGTCCATTAACACCACAAACAGGATCAGAGAAAAGGATCAGCATTGGTGGAGGCCGACCCACAACAAGAGCGAGCTTGGTGCTGTGACAAGAATGAAAACACAGCACCTGCTTCGGTTTTGAAGACTGGATAGCCCTTAAAAGCAACGCAGGCAGCCCATATTCCCACAGCAACCTGAAGAGAATCCATCCACCCATTATGTTTACCCGCTTCTTCCATTTTGGGTCACCGGGGTCGCCATGCCCACGTCCAGCAATCACTGTGCAAGGGGCAGAGGACATCCTGGACAGGTGCAAGTCCATCGCATGCAGAATATCCCTGGGAGAAAATTATCATAAGCCTTCTCCAGGTCCAAAAACCCATGTAGACTGGAGAGGCAAACTCCCATGACCCCTTTTAGCAACTCTTCAATGGTGATGCTATGGTCCACTGTTCCATGACCAAGATGAAAGCCACACCACAAATCCTGAATCCGAGGATCGACAATCGTCAGAGTCTTCCTTCCAACACCCTGGAGTAAACTTTTTCTGAGAAGGGTAAGAAGTATGATCCCACAATAGTTAAAACTTACTTTCTGGACATCCTTTAAAAAAATGGAAACAACACCTTGATTTGCTTTTCCACAGGTGTTGTCCCTGTCCTTCATGCAATATTGGAAAAACATGTCAACCATGACTGCCCCACAACATCCGGAGTCCTCAAAATCTCAGGGAGATTCTCCTTCACCCCTGGCGCTGGCATCCACCAGAGGCAGGTGACATGTCAGGTACCAATGACCTTCAGGTCACAGCTCCTAAAAGCCACGTACGCAACAGAAACCCTGAAGTTGGCCCATTCAGATTCAAAGTCCTCTCCCAGTACATGTGAAAATCTCTTGAAGGTGTGAGTTGAACATTGCATGGACAGGGGTCTCCACCAGACGTTCCCAGTTCACCCGTGTTTCTGCAGGTCTGTCCAGCAGCCTCCCCAGCCACTCGACCCAACTCCCCACCAAGTGGTGATCAGTTGACAACTCTGCCCCTCTCCTTATCTGACTTGTCCTTGTACTAAGTACACTTATGAACCATCCTATGCTCAAACATGGTACTTGTTATGAACAGCCCATACATAGCACAAATGACCAATAACAGAAAACCATCTGGGTTCAGATCAAGGAGGCTGTTCCTTCTAAATGCCACTTTCCACTTTGGGGCATTCAGGTCACCCAGCCTGATACCTTGTCAGTTAAAAATAAGGAATCTTCTGATGGCACCTCTTCTAGGACACCATCCAGAAACTCAAAGAAGGCCAGGTAATCTGAAGTGATGTTTGTTGCACAAGCACAAATCACAGTCAGAGCCTTCCCTCCTCCAGCCTGAAGCTGTTTTGGAACGTTTGGTCAAAGTTTATAGATGTTTTTTTATATCTTATCAGTTCAACTGAGCTCACAAACTCGGAGGTGACCCTGGAGCGACAGCTGCACGATAGCCTTCCAGCTCGTCATCCAGCTCTCCCTGCTAACCCAAACATATGGTTCATGGACAGAGTTAGCATTCTCAGCCATAGTAGTTATAAAATATCCATAAACATTGACCTAACATTCCCTAACAGAAGCTTCAGAGGCAACCCTGTCCTGCCCATCTCTGAAAATCTTTATCTTTGCTAATTGTCTTTAGCACAGTTCCATTCAAATAGTAATGTTGCAAGGATTTTTTGTATATTTCCTACATGCAACACTTTATATCTGGTTTCATTAAAACCTAATAACTTATTTCACATTGATTACCAATGTCTCTTTGTAATACTTAATGGTATACCAGTTATGGCTGGTTATTGGTATACCAGTTATGGCTGGTTCTTTTTCATTCCCTTAGAAACTCTTACCTTTGACCTCTCCACATTTTGCGCACACACTGTCGTGCCAGGCAGAGCCCTTCAGCACTAGCTTCAGCCCAGCATCACTGCAACTCTTGTGCTGTCTACAGCCATCGTGGGCAGAGGAAACATTGGAGAAAGTGTTGTTGGAGCAAATGTGGCACACCGTGTTCTTGTCTGCTGTACCTGCAGGAGAATAAGTATGTAAGTAAGTAAAACTTTATTTATATAGCGCTTCTCAAGATAAAAAAAAAATCACAAAGTGCTTAGACAAACAAAATAAATAAATAAAAAGTGCACAAAACAAATTTAAGCAAAGGCAGATTTAAAACGACGAGTTTTTAGTTGGCCTTTAATAGAAGCCACTGAGTCTGCTTATTGGAGAGTTTGAGGAAGGGAGTTCCAGAGTCTTGGAGCCACAGAAGAAAAGGCTCTGCCTCCTTTAGTTTTCAGTTTTGTCTGGGGGACAATCAGCAGGTCTTGATCACAGGACCTCAAAACCTTGATAGGGGTGTGGGGATGTAAAAGTTCCTATAGATGTATATTGTGTCTGTCCACGCGGAGCTTGCCAAGTCAAAACCAAAACCTTGAAGTCCACTCGATAATGAACTGAGAGCCAATGGAGTTGCTTTAGAAGTGGAGTAATATGACAACATTTTGAAGATCTAGTCAGGAGTCTAGCAGCAGCATTCTGTACAGACTGCAACCGGTTTACGGAGGTTTTGATTAAACAAGTGTACAGCGCATTACAGAAATCCAGGTGAGACGAAACAAAAGCATGGATTTCCAATAGACTTTGTCATGTTACAGGAAGTTGTACTAGAAAAATAATGATGTCCTGAGGAGAGGTTTATATTTGTATTTTATATTTTTCTTTGCAATTTTGGGTCAGAAGGTCTCAATAAATTAAAAAAACTTAATTTCAGCTTATATGATAAGCAGTTCTCTAACAAAACAAACAAACACAAATCATTGTCCTCATATGAGGACACTGGGTCTCAGGAGCATCTTGGAAGTTATTTATGTTGCCACCATGGAAACAATGTTTTGGTTAGAGTCGAACTGTGAACATAGAGGTGAGGCTGATAATACATTGAATTTTAACAATATACTGTATAAGCAAGGCTACCTTAAGAGGCAAAGTAATACCAGATTTTATACTGGTTCGCTTATTGCATTTTGCGAATAGATATTTTTAAAATTGGGACATTTTTATGAAATTTGTTGAAAGTGAATGAATTTGGTTTATCATAGTAGTCCACATGGATGGCTTAGGATGCATTCACACTAACACAGGTTGCTCTGCTTAAATTGGAGCAGATTTCATCCTCTCATTTATTCTGCTGTGCTTGGACAGGACTGGAAGCTCATCCAGAGGAGGATGCGGACTCAGAACTTATAAGGCTGCACATACCTGGTGTCAGCACCCCCTGTCCGGACGGGCACGCGCTGTGCTGGAAGCACATGTGATGCTCGTGGTTGTAATAGTAGCCCTGCTTGCACTCGCACTGACAGTTGCTGTCTGCGGTGCATTTCTTCTTCACCACCTGGTTCCGTCCGCACACCCCGCAGCGCAGGCACGTGGGGATGTAGTTCCACAGCTCCGTGAACGATCCCTCCGGACACGGAGCGCACTGGCTGCTCTGGGCTGACGAGCAGCGCGCGCGCAGGAAGTTCCCCGGTGGGCAGCGGTCGCACTGCAGGGACCTGCCGGAGATCGGGTCCTGGTGCTGGAAGGTCGGTGGCGAAGCGGTTATCAGCCAGAGGCGCACGGAGAGCAGCAGCAGCAGAACGGACACGAACATCTAGGAGGGAGAATGTAGACAACGCAGATTATTTAGGAACATCTTATTAAATATAACAAATATAATCCACTATATTAAAAAAAAGAAAAAAAGCAACATTGGCTGACAGAAAGAGCGTGCACAGAGAGAGAGCTCTCAGCGCGCGCCCATCACTTTCAGTCTCCACCTACCTTAGTGAGTGAGGAAGAGCCAGTCTGTGAGGAGGAGGAGGATGTACTCTCCACATCTCCACGTGTATTTATATTATGGTCCTTACACGCCCTTCTTGACGTTTTACGTTAATCTGTGTTTGTGTTTGGTGAGCAAGTAACAAAAGTGAGTCATCTGAACAGTCACGTGATCAGTATCAGTATTTCCCATGTTTATTTTAATGTTGATGATTGTAACTGACAACTAATGAAAACCCCAGAGTCAACACCAGCAGATGACATGACACCCCAAACCATCAGTGACTGTGTGGAAACTTGACACTGGACCTCAAGCAACGTGGATTCTGTGTCTCTCCTCCTCCAGACTCTGACCTTGATTTCCACATGAAATGCAAAAGTACTTTCAGCAGAGGGCATTATTTTGAATATGTCATCTGCTGGTGTTGGTCCACTGTGTTTTCTGAGGTCCACGGTCAACGCAGACGTCCACCAGGAAGTTTTAGAGACTTCATGCTTCCTGCTTCTGACCAACTTTATGGAGATGCAGATTTCATTTTCCAACAGGACTTGGCACCTGCACACAGTGCCAAAACTACAGTACCTGGTTTAAGGACCATGGTCTCCCTGTTCTTAACTGACCAGCAAACTCGCCTGACCTTAACCCCATAAAAAAAATCTATGGAGTATTGTGAAGAGGAAGATGTGATACACCAGACCCAACAATTCAGAAGAGCTGAAGGCCACGATCAGAGCAACCTGGGCTCTCAGAACACCTGAGCAGTGCCACAGACTGATCGACTCCATGTCACGCCACATTACTGCAGTAATCCAGGCAAAAGGAGCAACAACTAAGTACTGAGTGCTGAGTACTGAGTACCACGTGCTCATACTTTTCATGTTCATTCTTTTCAGTTGGCCAGCATTTCTAAAAATAATTTTTTTATTGGTCTTAAGTAATAATCTAATTTTCTGAGATACTGAATTTAGGGTTTTCATTTGTTTGTTATAATCATCATCATTAAAATACTTAAGCATGTGAAATATATCAGTCTGTGCGTAATGAATATAATATACAAGTTTCACTTTTTGAATGGAATTACTGAAATAAATCAACTTTTCCATGATATTTCAATTTTATGACCAAGACCTGTATTTTATATGTGTGTGTTTAAAATAAAATAAATATATTTATATGTAAAAACTCATATATATATATATATATATATATATATATATATATGTATGTATGTACAGTATGTATGTGTGTATGTATATATATATATATACTATGATCACTTGACTGTTCATATATATATATATATATATATATACATTTATATATACTGTACCTGTATCTTTGGCCCCACTGAGTAAGGCCAGTGCTCTAGTTGTCAGCCCTCTGCTCCACACCACCAGGGCTGCTGTAGCTCTGTGGTCAGTGCGTGTGAGAAAGAGCACCCAGCTAAAAAACAATCGCCAAATGTGTTCACTGTGGCGAAAGACATGAAAGAAGAAAAAGTAAAAACAAACGTACAGAAACGAAACAAAAACATAGAAAGTGTGATCTTTTATGTTTTTTAGAACTCTTTTCATCTCAACCCATCATTTTTTTGTATATGACTATATTATTTTATATGTGATCAGATATTTGTGATGACCTTTCAAAAACACTGAATATGTCATCTTTAAGTAATTTTATAATACATTTTTCAGTATGCATTAAGTCATCTTCTATTTGGAAGACCCATTTGAGTTCAAGCTTGAACTTCCTGGTTGATGCCTTCAGATGTTGCTTCAATATTTCCGTATGTTTTTTCCTCATGATGTCATCAATTTTTTAAAACTTTCCCATCCTTTTTACGGTAAAACACCCCCACAGCATGATGCTACCGCCCCTGTACTGCACAGTTGGGTTGTTGTAAGATTCTCTTATTTTTCTTCCAAATGTAACCATGACCACTATGACCAAACAAAATACATTTTAGTTTCATCAGACCACTGGACATGGCTCCAGATATTAAGGTGTTTGTCCCTGTATACAACTGAAAACTCTAATCTGACATTTTTATTTTACTTTCAGAGAAATGGCTGTGTTCTTGCTGAATGGCCTTAAAGGCGATACTTAAAGCCATGACATTATTATGTGGGCTTTCCTATTTTCGTCCCCTGTTGCGGAGGGAAGATGGGGAATTGAAAATACCCTCCATCCATTCGTCCATTCGTCCATTTGTCCATTTGTCCATCTAACAATGAGTTGTGTGAGCACAATAACTTGAAAAATAAGCGAGATGCCGACTTCCATGTTGGTGTGCGGCAGCATCTAGTTGTATAAATGGTCTCTGTAAAACATTGGGTTGTCAAATCAAAATCCAAGATGGCCACCACCATATATATATATATATACAGCATATAAACGGGTAACCTCAATCATTTGATGACGTTGCTTTCCATAGCTTAAAAGTATAGTTTCCTCAGATGATTGGGGTGGTCAGTGAGGTGGCCAAAGATTGACCTATGGTGGCCAAGGTTACCATTGGTAAGCCCCCGGCTCCAACATTGCACGTGGGGGTGGGACAATTGGTCCCTCCACTTGCCAGTAAAACAAAACAAACAAACAAAAGAAAAAAATACTACCTCTATTCTGATACACAACATTTTGCACCAAAACATTAAGGTTTATTTGCATTCCTTGTTCACTTCCAGTTCAGAAAAACATTTCAAACACTGCCAACGTTCACTTGTTAATCACAACACGTTTTTTGTTTTTGCTCCCATTTTTCATGAGCTGACCTCAAAGATCTAATAATTTTTTCTAAGTATAGAAAAAGGCCTTTTTCTCTCAAACATTGTTCACAACTTTGTGTACCGGTACATCTGTGTTAGTGAGCACTTCTCCATTGCCGAGATAATCCGTCCACCTCACAGGTGTGGCATATCAAGAAGCTGATTAAACAGCATGATTATTGCACAGGTGTGCCTTAGGCTGACCACAATAAAAGGCCACTCTAAAATGTGCAGTAATATCACAGCACAATGCCACAGATGTTGCAACTTTTAAGGAAGCTTACAATTTGCATGCTGACTGCAGGACTGTCCATATTCAGATAATTTGACAGTGCAACTAACCAAACTCACAACCGCAGACCACGTGTACCACACCAGCCCCGGTGTTTGTTGTCCACAACATACGCCTGCCCATACCATAACCCCACCTCATGCAGAGCATGCAGATTAGCTTCGCTGAGACAGATCTGACAGTTTGTGCAGATATTTTTTGGCTATGCAAACAGATTGTTGCAGAATCTGTCCGGGTGGCTGGTCTCAGACAATCTTGAAGGTGAAGTTGCTGGATGTGGGCTGGTCTGGTTACACCTGGTCTACATTTGTGAGGTCAGTTGGATGTTCTGCCAAATTCCCTGAAACGTCTTTGGAGACAGATATAGAGAAATGCACATTCAATTCATGAGCAACAGCTCGTGGAAATTCCTGCAGTCAGCATGCCAACTGGATACAAATTGTCTGTAACATCAAAACGTGGGTGGACAATGTGAAGCACACACCGTCTTTTGCCCCACTTTGAATCTATTACTGGTATCGCTGTGGTATTGAGTTGAGTAAAAGTATTCAGAGCTGATAAAATCTGCTTTATGATAAAAACCTGTATGCTCCTTTTGAAAGTTATAAATGGAAAAATTTTATATTTTTGTTCTATTTTCAGTCCTTTAAAAATATGACATTCTGAAACATAGTTAGGAGACTCTGATCCATTGCATAGCACACACGTAATACTGAAACCTGGGATGTTTTGATTAGTGACAGAAAGCCATGAGTTGCCACCACTTGTGATCAGAGAGAATTTTGCCTTCGGGACATTGTCAGTTGTTGCATATCTTGTTACTACATACCTTCTAACCTTTTGTCTGAAATGCATTCCACGCTCGAAATATATTCAACACAAGTAGAAGCTCAGACATGATATTGAATACAAAGAAGGAACAACTCAAACACCCCCGGGGGAAACTGACTTTTTTTTTTAGTTTCACTAAAGTTAACTGAGCATAGAAACATCATGGGTGGATGGAAAAAGGTGACACTGTTCACTGTTCACTGTCATGTGACAGTAATTCCCTTGTTTGGGGAAGTGTGTGGTGTGGTTTATGCTATAGGCTCATTGTGTTGTTGTCTTTATGCTTTAAGTCAAATATTTGCTGAGTGTACTCTCCTGCTATCGTTCTTTTATTTGTGTTCAGTCTTCCACCTTATGCTCCTTTTCCATTAGTACCTGTAGTACCGGTACAGCACGGCTCTACTCTACTCGGTACGGTACAGGTTGTGTTTCCATTAAGCTTTCAGTACCGGTTCCAGTGGGCGGGGTTCAAATTGACGTTACCACCTCTCACCAGCTGGTGGCGCTGAGACGCAGAAACTGTTTTCAGTGCAGGTTGAGAATTTATGTTATTTTGAAGTTGTGTGTATGTATGTATGCATGTATGTGTGTATGTACATGTGTATTAGTTTCAGCCTGTTAGCCCTTGTTCTGCATGGCTTAAGATTTGTACTGAGATTTTTTTTTAGCAAGCATTTCTGTACTTGATCTTTGATGACTTGTTTATACACCTTTATGGGGCCGAGATGGTGTAGAGGCAGGGCAGCCGGCTTGGGACCCGAGAGTCCCAGGTTCGATCCCCAGTCACTGCACATCACGTGGCGTCTCTGGGCAGCACGTCTAATTCCCAAAATGTCCCCCGGGCGCTTTCAATAGCTGCCCACTGCACCACCTGGTGGTGGATGGGTTAAATGCAGAGACTAATTTCGCCATTGTATGGAAACATACAGTGCTGACATTGTGAT